CTGACTTGTAATTATATTGTTTGATAACATAGTCAAAGCTTAGGAACTACAACTAAGAAGTCTCCAATTAAGAAGATAATAAGTATGAAGAAGAGAAAAAAGCCTGACTCTACATCTGGACCTTCAAAGAGTTCAAACTGGTATTAAAATCTCTTTTATATTTTATTTAATAAAACATGGTTTCCAATCTAATTAGAGAACCTAATTACCAATCTTCTCTCACCATAGCCAAAGCATAGAGACTACAAGCAAGAAAAATGAGAAACATGGTAACTCCAGCTCTAGAGCATCAAAAAGGTAACTCACTGTCTTCACACTGGAGAGTGTTATTTTATCTCTGAATACTTAAGGATAGTTTAGTTGAGACTGGAGAGTGTTATTTTACATGAAACTGAGATCTTGTCAACTTTAATAGCATTGTATCAGGAGCTGATTTAAGTAGATTGATGGCCATCCAGCTTTATTACACTTCGAAATCAAACGACGGAGATAATAATGTACATTTTCTATGCTGTAAAAGAGGTAGTGAATAGTTTTACTAGTATATATGCCATCAGAGGCTGTAGCAAATGCCAGTTACAGTTCTCTGTTGTAGTCTCTATGCTGCCAAGTTGGGTTGGTGCTACACATGTTGGAATCAGCTGTTAACCAAGTAACTGATTGTCACCTCTGTGCCAGTTGATGTCTTTGCTCTGTAGTATGAATTTGCCAATCTTGTCTCATATTTTTTAATATTATTCTGTAGTCAACGAAGAGTAAGGATGTCATCCTAGTTTGAATGTACATGTGTAGGTCAAAAAGCGACTCCAATCAACCTGAGCCAATTTCCACCGAGTTTCATTCTCCAACAAAGGAGAAGGCTAAAAAGACCAAGAAACAGCTTGCTTCAAACTTGAAAAAAATTCCAGGGTTGGCAGGCCGTTAAGCAGAAAAGATAACTCTTCCCGAGGCCCCCGCCGGCGTCTCCGAACTTCCTAACGTCGTCGTCAACCGCCACATCCCGGCTCGGGAAATCTTAACCCGATTCCCTTTCGGGGAACACGCGAGATCGCGCTGTCTGCCGGGGTTACCCCATCCCTTAGGATCGGCTTACCCATGGGCACCAGAAACAAAACAGTTAAGCTTGCTAGTCCTGCAAATAGCACAAGAAGCAAGAGAAGATTGAGCTTTGTGATTCTCTATGTAGATGTGCTTGGCAATGTGTAAGGCATATGCTCTATGATCTGTAATGTGAACTTAGACCCCCTATGTATGAACCTTCATGTGTTTATGTTTATGAACCTGGTAATGTATGCATATTTATGAATCTGGACATGTGAACTGTAATGTGATTCTCTATGTAGATATGCTGACAATGTGGTCAGATTTGTGAAGCTTGTGCATCAAGTATATTTGTCATATTTGTGCTTTCCTTATTTGGCATTATGTCCATTTATTCTTTTTCTATCTGGCACTACATGTTGCTGGTATATAGAAGGGCATATATGTTATTTTCGGTGGCACTTGACACCGTTGCTGCATCAAATGGACGGAAATACCATATACTGAAGGAATTTTCAAGTTGATGCTAGATAAGGAAGTTCAAAATTTCCACTGCCAAATACGAAATAGTGATTTGTTTCAGCGGCAAATACAGAATTCTCCCTTTGTTTAACGCAAGAACAGAACACCTATCGTCATCGACGTTTCTCCTTCCCAGCAACAGCCCTTCACCACTCGGTCTCTTCTCCTTCCCCTCCAACTGTTCTCCTTCCCATCATCCTTGCCCTGCTGCGTCCCATAATCCCTCCACAAATGCTCCTCCTGTGATGGACTAGAGCATTCATCTATCCCATTATGAGTCTGTTCACTGGTTGGTTTCTGGGCTGATAAGGCCGACTGATGCTGGTTTATCGTGAGAGGAAAACTCTATTGGCTGGCTGATAAGCCCTGACTGAAACCAACAACCGAACATGTATGTGTACTGCTTGAGTGGCCTCTACTATCTTCGTGTTTAAATCAAACGCATCCATGTTCGCATACTCATCTTTGGCATCACCCTCTGCTCAAGGTAAGTGGTTATTCCTCATTTTATCCTCTCTTGCTTTCTCCAAACCTCTAAGGGTTCATGTTCCAGTCTGTCAGATTGCACGATTGCCTGCTCGAATTAATGGTGCTTGATGATTTGCCACCAAGGGCATTGCTGCAGATTTTATTCAAAAGGTGCTCGATGATTTGCCAACAAGAAAATTGCTGTAGAATTTGTGCTTCATTAATCTCTTCCTTCTCGCACTGGTACAGAAAGTCTCATCTCTTATAAATTATTTGTTTACAATGGATAACTGCATGCATCTTTTATTTTGTTTCTCTTGCTGCTCGCTTCACCCTCCTATGTCTGAATCCAATTTAACCACAATTGAGGTGCATGATCGTCTCCTGCTGCCAGCACCATGATGACATCATAGTCGATGCCTCAGTTTGTTCATCATCAACGCTGTCAAGCAAGCTGCGAGTGCCATCTAGATGCATGACTGCTAAATTATTAACTGAGGTAATTTTTTAATACGCGCAACGCTGCTCCCTCAGCATTTCCTGAACATGCATGCTCAACGAAAGAGTTGTTGGATTTTCTTTTCTTTTTTACTTTTCAGGTAAGAGTGCCTCAATTTCAACCGAAGTCAGCAACAAAATCACAATAATCAGCTTGAGTGTAGTTCTTTATGCACAGTTACTGTTATGAGAGTTACTGGGTACAAGACATATTGATAATTAGTACATCCTCTTCTTTTTACGGGCACACAACAGGTGTTTCATTTATATTTTCCCTTTGTCTTATTTGTTGAGCTCATCATCTTGAAGTGGCAATTTCCTTGCAGGCTGTGATTTATGTAGTTGAACTATTTATTTATTAATTTCCTGTTTTTTTTTTCTCATATTGCATTATGCATATTTTTTTTCTAATGTATATGTGCCGTGAAATTGACAGTCTCCTCTGACAAGACCTCGCTGTCATGGTTGAGAAGAGCATCAGAGAGTGTCAAGCCATCGACAAGCGTACGTGAATGAGTCTGTCTACCTAACAACCAACCATGTATTTTATTCAGTTTCAATACATGAATTTTTTTTATCATGTGTTTTATGTAGTTTCAATACATGATATTTTTTACACCATAGAATTAAGATCTAACAGCCTCCATCATCTAGTCAATCACAAATCACAAAATCACAGATCTACAGATCACAAAAAATAATTTTTTTCTATGCAAGAACAAAGGACAAATCGAGTCTGGCCGCATGCGTATACGTAGAGGACCGGCGGTACGCCCAAGGACACGTAGCGTGGTGAGGCTCCTACGTGACGGCGGCGACCGCGACCGCGACGGGCGACGGAGCCGGACCCGGACTGAATCTTGCTTACGGCCGGCCATCAGCCCATCACGCATTGCATGCCACTCGCACGTCGCACTCGCATGGAAGCCGGGATGTTTGTCGTACGTGCCCTGTACGTACAACTCGCCTGCGTACTTCACAGAAAAAAAAATCTATATGTTTTTTTTTTTTAAAAACACGTATGTTATATAGCATTTCTGATGAATATACGATGGTCAGGTCCGCAGTTCCAACTTCCAAGGCCATATTGGCTACTTTAGATATTCGGAGGCTTCTTGCTGTTACCATCTCTGTTTTGATCAATTTTCTTGCCTTTAGAACTGCTACATCAGTAGCTCTTACTTTGTAGGTCCTTACTTATCTCTGATGCATTCGTTTAATCACTGCTGACTAAGTTTACCTTCTCAAAGCACAACCATGTTTATCTACTATAGTCAAAATATGTACACATTGACTTCCTCTCCAATTTGTTGGTAGTGAATGAAGTTTCTCTCAGCCTAATATCGTTGAGTATATGCCTGAAAAGATATGGTTTTGAATTTGACACTACGGTCAAGCCAGCGGTGGGGCTGGGGGCTCTAGCCCCCCTACCGATCCTGGGCATGTGAAACTCCCCTAAGCCCTTTTTAAAAATTTTATGCATATATGTATTAGGTATGAAGGACTAAGGTTAAGAGAAGATAAAAAAGTCTCTATTCTTTTGTTCAGCTCCTCCTAAATTTTTTTCTGGCTTCGTCCCTCGGTCAAGCAATAGAACTTTTGAGATTGAGTCTCTTGGTCTTTTTTTTCGTTTTTTCCCTACTTCAATGTCCCATCCGCATATACACAAACATATAAATTCAGATATCATGTAGTACGACTTTCAGAATGCTATTTTATTTATCTTTTAACCATTGTGACTACATTCTACAACCGCACATTTCCACTTGCACACCAGACCATAAACATCATAAGCAAATGAAATGCAATGACAAACTCAGAACAAATTATGTTGCATAGAAGGCTCTCCTCAAGTCAATATAAGAAAATTCCTGCAGTAACGCGTGGGTATCTTCTAGTTAATATTAACTCTGTGTAATATACGCCGCCGATGCAGGAGACAATTGAGTCTTGTGCGTTTTGTTGACATCTGGGCTAGGGATTTATATATATAGTAGTAATTGTATACTAAGTCATCAAAGTTGCTGTGGTGTAGTGGTTATCACGTCAGTCTTACACACTGAAGGTCTCCAGTTCGATCCTGGGCAGCAACAAAATTTCCACGCATTTTATTACTTTTATTTTTAATTTATAAATTGTTTTTTCTCCCTACCTGATGACTTACGTCTCCTTTCTCCCCTACACTTTTTTTTTCTCCATCTCAAAATCGAAAGAATAATAACACATCTCGTTCGACGTTCCAGGTTCTTCAGCGTTTCGCTGCCCGCAGCTCGGCGGCTGCCACCCATTCACCCACCGGCCACCGGCATCGTGAAGTCGGGAACCCACCCACAGACTCGCACTGCACTAGTCCAGTCCAGGGAAGCTGGGAGGGATCAGGGATCCATCCACCGTTGTGTCTTCTCAGGTCTACAGGACGCCAGGCCAGGTGCGCCGCGCGTCCGTGGCGGCGATGGGCGCGGCAGAACGCGATGCGCTCGGGGGTGGTGGTGCTGGGCGCCGTGGCCTTCGGCTACCTCTCCTTCCGCGTCGGCTTCAAGCCCTACCTCCACCAGGCCCAGGAGGCCATGGACTCCGCCCGCGACCCCGACGCCGCCGCGGCGAGGGACGCGTCCGACGACCCCGCCGCCGGCCGACCCGGGGGAGACCTCGCGCCGTCCAAGGACCCTGCCGTCGTGCTTCGCGACTGAGGTGCCGGGCCGCGAGCGGGGTCTTTATTGCTTCGACTGTTTTGGTAGTATATCAGTATATGTACCCTGGACACAGTTTCATTCTGTCACCCTGTGTGAGATCTTCTTTCCTGCTGTTTTGAACTAATTTCTGTTTGATGCCCACATAAAGCTTGTTGTTCGATCCATCAGTAGGCATTGCGAAGAAATCGATTCAAGGCTTCAAGCTGTGCTAACGTTGGATGATCCGAGGAAACGACGGTGCTATCACATGTAGATAGACTTGTGTTTGTGTAAATGCCCCATTCTAGCTGATGAACTCTATCAGGAAGATGAGAGTAGGAGTAAGGTGGAAAGCAAAATTTCCATCGGATGATTGAGAAATGAGAAGGTACTATTAATCAGGTCTTGAAATTGATCATAGAAGACGCCGAGGACTTGCTTACGACACTTAGGCCAAGTACAACGGGTCTCTTGACCTGTCCCTCATCGCCATTTTTTCAAAAAAAAAAAGCCCTGTCGAAGCCTGAAGACGCCCCTTCCGTTGTCTCGCGAGGCAACGGCTTTGTCCCGTGCTCTGATGCAGAGAAGACGACCCGAGCAGCGTTGTACCGGCCATCTCAAGTCTCGACGGCGCAGATCCCGGGCACTTGCACGCGCGGTTGATGTTTGGGCACGCACGGGACGGAGAAGTCCCGCCAAATTCGTCTCCCTACATCACCGGTGAAGCAGCGACACAGCTCCGTTCGTCGGGCACCCAACCTTTGGCGTTCGTGATGTTGAGCGCCTCGGCTAGGAAGAGCAAGCTAGGGTGCGTTTGGTAGTCTTGCTGAGTTGGGATATAGCTCAGTTGGGCAAGCTTGCCAATTTCAGCAAGGTCAACCTTGCCACTAAAGCACGTTTGGTTCTTTTGCCCAGCTAGCTTTGTCGTTTGGTTACGTATACAGCTTGCCGACCTTGCTGCCTCGTTTCTCCTTGCAATTTAGCATTCATGTACATGGAAACAGATACAAGCGTGCTGAATCAAATTGCTCATAATTGTATAAGAATAAAATACATATAAAATAGTCATTGTCTAAATAAAATACTATCCATTTAAAACATGGCGTTGCAGCCGGGGGGGTCCATTATTTTCCTTAGTCCTATGAAAAGCATAAAATGTGCATACTTATTGTAAAGTCTGATCTAAACAAACTCAAATCATCGGAGGTGGATAGTTTTTAACAAACCATTTCTGGACGTACTCCTTGATGGCCTCCAATGATCTTCCCTTCAACATAGCAGCAGTCTTCTCGTTATTTGCAAGATGCTCTTGTAATTCAAGTCGAACAAATAATGGATACTCCTTCATAGCATCAATTGTCTTGAATAATTCTTCATTTGGATGAGTGACATGAGTGAAGCGCATGGTGTCAGACATATCACGCAGAACACGAGTCACCTCTGAGATCGCAGTATCATCACGCTTAGTCCTCTTCACTTTTTTAGGCTTGCTAGCAGCAGGACGCTTACTAGATGAGCTTCCCCCATTATTGTCGTCCTCCTCTTCAGGCAGGCAATCTGAATCGTACTGCAAACCTGGGTCAACATCCTCTGCACGATTCGCATTCTTATCACCAATTAAATCTCCATCATGAGTGGAAGGAAGATCGTACGGTGCTTGTAGAACAGTGAACTCCTCAGTTGCATGCTTGTCTTGAAAAATAAATTCCATCTCATCATAGCAATGGATGGGGACATTTATAAATTTCGCCCTTGAATCTTTGTTCTGGACATGTCCGGTCTTAATTTCGTACTTCACTATAATAATACATGAGTAACATAACTAAATCAAATTTATAAGGACAGAAAGACATACATTCTGCATCCTGACAGCCTCTGTTTCATCATAAAGTATCATTTTCTTAACATCATCAAAGTTTGCTCCGCTTAAATTCTTTGCTTGCAGTATAACCTTCCATTGACCTTTCAGCTTATGATACTTGTGGTAAACTTGCCGCTGAGTGAAATTTGTGTGATACTTTGCATTAATTTGTTTTGCGAAAAAACCATTAGTCTTCCATCAGCTTGTATCTTCTCTTTGTAGTATCGTAGCATGTCCTCCACCACCTGAGGCTGCCACACAACGTTATTTCCTGCCATCCCTGCATGTGACGGTACTTAAAATATTTTTGGAGATTACAAAATTCATATACCTCATATGACTATGTGGATGTAATTAAGATACTTCATGTAAAGAAACTACATTTCGTTCAGAGAAATCCATGAATACAATAAAAAGGACTACTTTACATTGCAACACAAAAATAATAAATAGTTTCATAGATGACTGAACAACACACATCAACCACGCCTAACATTGTTTCTATTTCTCCACATACTATTAGCTATGGCATCCCTGTCTCGGAGTACTTCCCTCTGCTCCTCACGTAAATCTCGTTGAACACGTCTAGCTGTTCTGGGATAGTTCTCAAACCAACTTTGTTCGCTATAGACTAGTTCATCAGGTCCCCCATTTTGTAAGATCCAGTTATGAAGAATACAGCATGCTATGACAACTCGTACTTGTGAAGGGAAGGGATAATATGGTCTTGTTGTCAGCACTTTGAAACGATTTTTTAGTGTCCCAAATGCTCTCTCGACGTAACTAGGAGGGATGAGTGCCTTAGGTTGAATAGATCATTTTGTGTCCGCGCTCTATTGCCCCTCCACTCACGCAAATGGTAACGAGTTTGACGAAAAGGAGGTAGAAATCCTCTCCTTGCTGCGTAGCCAGCATCTGCAAGGTAGTATTTACCTACCAGGCCATTGGGAACACAATTAATATCACTAAGTTGTATATGTAAGTGTTCCAAAGGTAGACTAGACACCAACCTTCAGGGACTCGAAGGCCATTTGGATGCTCAAGAGAATGTCGTAGGACCATGGAATCATGTGTGGACCCCTCCCAACCAGCACTTACATACGTGAACATCAAATCAAAATCGACCACTGCAAGAACATTTTGGGTAGGAAAACCTTTCCTACCGTGGAACCTATCTACAATCCTTGATGGAACATTACAAGGAATGTGGGTACCATCAATTGCGCCGATGCAATCCTAGCCATTCAATTGGTATAGGAACATAAGTACATACTAATATATTATTAATAAGCTATTTTGGTATAAAATAGTGAAGGGCCATACCTTAAAATAGGGATCAAACCGAGGGTTGCCTACAATTTTTGATGGTATATCGAGAGAGCGGTGCCTAAGCATTTCAGGTCCAAGTTGTCCAATTGCATATAAAACTTGATCGAAATATCGGCTAACGGTTTCACCTGACCTTGTGAAATGAAAACTAATATCACTGTTTTTCTTATGATGTCCTACAGTAGTGAGAAACATGGCGATTTGTTCCTCTATGGTACAATGCCAAGTATATCTAAGTGCTCCCATAGTACGCAGTTTTAGACACAGCTTGAAAAACACCGACTTTCCCATGCGCAACTCTGAGATGCAGTGTTTCTCCTCACCATAATATAGTTCTGTAGATACTTCAGCCTTTCTTTATTCCTCTCTAACAATGAGTATCGTATAGGATCACCGGTATTGAGTTTAAATATCACCAATATCAACCATGCTAAAATAGAAGAGCTAATGAATGCAATCATTCTATTAGCAATAGCACTGTCATCCATCTATAGTAATCAAACAACAAAGGACAAACTGTTAAACTACCTACAAGTACAGAGTAAAAATCAAATGAATTCTTTGATACAGAGGACATAAGTAGGGTATCACAAAGTTCATATGAAACCACACTAAGGACAAGATTTTCACCATTTGCTTTACAAGAGAAAGAGAAACACCTTTAAGATCTCAGAAACTTTAGCCTAGGTAAATACTTATAAAAAACAAAAATCAGGAAAACCAGAACAATAGCAGAGAAAGACCTCTGAAACTCAGAGTAAGATTTTCACCAAAATCACTTCACAACACCTCTAGTAATTAGAATAGAGTACTTGTTCATTCAAGGAATTGTTGATACAGTAGCAAATATCTATGTGTGGAGGGGATTGACTAGAAATCACAGGATTATATTTTAAATAGATCTGCAAACTGCAGTGTGTTGCGCACACACCATATCAGAGCCCAATCGTTAAGCACACCATCTACTCTATGGAATTAATCCACAATCTAAAGAGTCATCAGGTGTATTCCAATCACAATTAATCTCTGGATGAAAAATAGACATTAGGGATTGATTACAGACCTTGCAAGCTGAAGAGGAGGAACCTGCTCCTCCGTCCCTGCTTTCTGTCGTCCCCTGCTCTGCTCTCTGTCCTGCTGAAGACAGCCCAGGAAATCGATCTTGTGGTCTCGCAGCGGTCAAGTTTGAGAGGATGAGAATGGAGCTACTGGGTGAAGGTTATGGTGCCTGCAAACTGAGATCTGGCAAGATTTATGGAGGAGTTGGAGCAAAAATCGCATGAGATGCTGAGGAATATGGCGGTGTGGTCCCTCGGGGACCGGCTTTCCCGCCAAGGCTTGGCCCAAGCAGACAGCACGTAACTCATGGGCCGGCCCAAGAGTCTAAAAACAACAGGCTGGAAGGGCGGTCTAGTCACCGACCGAAAGGTCTGGCCGAAGAGGAACAATGCCTGCTCGTCGACTGCTTCGGCCCACCTCTTCGACCGGAGCGCTCGCTTCGGACTCCAGCCGCCTTCGGACGGCCTCTCCGATCGGAAGGAATGGCCCAAGCACTACTGCCGACTCTGACCCCGTGTCTCCGACCGGAGTTCGCAGGAACCCTGCTCACCGCTCTTCTCCGACTGGCACGACCAGAGCCGACTGGAGCCATCCGACCGGGGACGCCCGCTCGAAAAGGACCAGGGGACGAATGGAGAAAGCAAGCCAAGGCGCACAAGTCAAACCATAATACCAGGGACCATACCCTGTACGCCTACAGGAACAGTACTCTGCGACCGCCCTGACACAAACAGTATTGTAGGCGCCGACATTTCCCTCTACAATATTG